GTTTGCTACATACCATGAGCTGATTTTAAAATTAAGTTAACAAGCATTGATTAGTGCTTGTTTTAAAGATTTATTTTTCTTTAGCAATTGAGTACTCTAAAAGTATTCAACTAAAAATGTAAATAGCAGCTGTACTTTGAATACTGCCTTTACAAAATATAACTTGGACCGAATACAAACACTTCATTTCTGTATTCTGAATATGTATTCCCAGTATTGGTGTTCCATACATCCCAACCCTGGCTATAGCTAAACTTAGCATTTAGATCTGCCATTAGAGACACTTTTCTGGATTACTGCCTCTGATATTGTCTGCTATAAACTGTTGTGTAGCGTGAACATGCCTTTCATTGTAACCGTGAAATAAAATTAAATTAACAAGGAAACAACATAATTTGGAAGTTTGCTGGCTTGCCATTTTCAGTCATTTTACTATTTAAAAGAATATTATACAAGCATGTACCAGTTGTTTATAGCGTAGTACCATAAATGAACCCCCATAACTGTTGCAACTACTTCTTGTGGTCACTCATCTCACAAAACCTTTGTTTTTTTGCAGTAGACATATCATAGCTCATTAAAAATGGACATGAGTTGATGATTGACAGAACAGTCCATTTGTTACACTGTAACGTGTCCACAAAATAGCAGTTTGTTCAGCATATTCAGGCATTTCCTGCATTTACACGCATTCACTTACTCAGAGCCCCTGCTTTCCCTTCTTGCGCCCCTTATCACTTTTTACACCAAGAATTGCCATCTTCCCCTGGAGGAGGGTCTCTGTCTGGTCCTAGATCAGGGGTGTCCAATCTTATCCACAAAGGACCGGTGTGGCTGCAAGTTTTCATTCCAAACGAGCTGGAGCACACCAGATTCCACTTGTTTAATCCGTTGCTCAGCCTTCAAACAACTGATCGTGTGCAGTCCTGCTTTGTTGGAATGAAAACCTGCAGCCACACCGGCCCTTTGCAGATAAGACTGGACACCCCTGTCCTAGATGAACTAGATGAATACAGGCCCAGATCAAATATTGGGAGTGAAAGGTGAAAGGACACCAATCAAACAGCAACAAATCTAAATGCTGGGTTGGTTTGAAATATAGGCCTGTGACAAATATTGTATCATTGCCTGATCACAATTATTATTTAGGCTTGCTGCGCTTGTTTTTTGCCGCACTTATTTAAGTTGACTAAGGTCATTAGCTCAATCATATGTTGCAACAAATAGAAAGTGAACTGAGTGTGTTTTCATCCATTGGGTTGAAGCAAATACATGTAAATAAAAGTAAGCTGAAAATGCTTTATTGAAACACCTCATGGGTCTTTACAAAAACAAGAATGGACAATTGCACTGTCATTAGCTTAGCTGTGGTTCAGAGTTTAACCCAAGTTTAAACATCTTAAACTCCATTGCTGTGTCCTTGAAAGCTGCAGTTTAAAGTGCACCTGTGGTTTGAACTAAACCCAATTGCTGTGTCATTTACAAATTATACATCTGCCACTAGATGGTGCTGTATCTGAGGTTTCTCTTAAACCTGCTAAAGACATGGTTTTACTGATGTTTAAGGGAAGATTATTCAGGTCAGCTATTTTCATATACCATGCCTAGGTCATTATACCTTCCATCTTTGTGGACTTCATGGCATATTTCAATTTAACGCTATATTACTTAATTATACTTACATGAGGTAATATACTCAACTATAGCAGACATTTCATCTCAGCAAACATTTATTCTTCATTTCCATCAACCCCCAAATCAAACAAAGAAAGAAGGAAAAACAGTGCACTAGCCAGGCTGACCAATTCAAAATTATTTGCAATGCTCTGAATGCATTACTTGCAAAGTCTTGATGCTTCATCAGGCACCAGTGCAAAAGGTTGCCTAGCTCATCAAGCAGCAAACCCCTGTAAACCCTATGGCAACAAATCAGCACTCAGTAGCAGTAATGCTAGTGTCCTACTACCCAAAACCTGCTGTAGAACATAATTCTCTGTGTTACAGCACCATCCACAGCTTGGGCATTGTTCTGTATAAAACTGGTTGAAATCTGCTTTAATATCTGTTCACTTGAGCTCAAACCACAGCCATATTTATGCTTTAGCCTCGTGCTAATAATTCACTGTTAATGGTATGACTGATTCCACATGCAGTTTACTGGATAGAATCAAGGAGTTGAAGTGAAGCATGTGATGTAGTGAAGCAGTCCTCCGAGTTCTGATTGCTGCTTTAGTTGCAGTATTTCACGTTCTGCTTGAACGTGATGTCATCACCCATTTCACTTCACACCCAGCTCCAACATCCTTCCTGTTCAGCAAAAGGTGGGTGGAGCTTACAAACAGTAGTCCCAACACTGGCTCTTGTTTAAAAGAACAGTTTAGTCAAAAAAAGAATGTTGTGAACTTGTTGGTAGCGGTTAGCGTTCCAGTTGCATTCAAGTAGTGGCTTCAAACGATAAGGATGGGTTGTGATGAACTGTATTTTTACTTTTTAGCACATGGGGAAAAAAGCTTTCTTAGAGATTTCATCTTACACAGTGATTAGAATGCACATGTGTTTATATAGAACACAATGTAAGATCTTAATTCTACATTCATTAGACTTTTTTCCCATGAAATACATTTCTACGTAAGCACTGTCTAATCCTAGCTGGATTAGTTTTACCTGGGGAGGTACTGTTATATAAGTGATTACAAACAAGAGGTATGATTTAAATCCAGTACAAATCCTGTTTTCTGGAATTTGCTGACCTCAGATCTTTTTCCGTGATAGTAGTCCTGTTTGAATCAGCATCACAGTAATGTAATAACAAAACCAGGTTAAAGAAAACAGTGCCTCCATTTTCCTTTTTGTTTTTTCTTTCTTTGCCACCTGAAGCAAGTCCTCAATGAATGGGGTGAAGAAAGCTAAATGGCTAAAAAAACCAAAAAAGTTAGGGTGCTGTGAAAATATAAATAGAAACTGAATAAAATGATGCACAAATGATTAAAACCCTATATTTAATTGAAAATAGATGTATTTTTCATTTCATAATGCACCAAATGTTTTCAGTGGGTAACACAGGTCTGGACTGCAGGCAGACTAGTTTAGCAATCAGACTCTTTAGCTACAGAGTCATGCTATTGTAATATATGCAGAACATGGTGTGGCATTGTCTTGTAAATAAGCAGGAAATAAGCAAGGCTTTCCCTGAAAAAGACGTTGTCTGGATGGCAGTATGTGTTGCTCCAAAACCTGTTTATATTGTTCAGCATTTATGGTGCCTTCACAGATATACAAATCACCCATGTGCACTAATGCACCCCTATATCATCAAAGATGCTGGCTTTTGAACTGTGCGCTGATATCAAGCCAGATGGAATTTAAAATTTTAATTTGTTGGACAACAAGAAACTTTTTCACTTCGCCTCAGTCCTTTTCTAAATGAGCTCAGGCCCAAAGATGACGGTGGCATTTCTAGATGCTGTTTATATATGGTTTCTACTTTGCATGGTAGAGTTTTAACTTTCATTTGTGGATTCAGCGGCAAACTGTGTTCACAGACAATGTTTTTTAAAGTGTTCCTGAGCCAATGCAGAATCGTGTCTGTTCTTAATGCAGTGCTGCCTGAGATTCCGAAGATCATGGCCATCCAACATTAGTTTTCGGCCTTGTCACCTGCACACAGAGATTTCTCTGGATTCTCTGAATCTTTTAATACTGTATACTGTAATGATATTATGTAGCTTCTTTGCTATTTTATATTGAGAAACATTATTTTTGAACTGCTGCACCTCCCCATCTTTACTTCTGAAAGGTGTTTTTTATTTTGTTTTTGTTTTTTTTACATTACAGAAGTTTACCAGTCTTTTGTTGCCCCGTCTCAACTTTTGAGATAGGTGTTTTTGAGATGTGTTGCTAGTATCAGATTCGAAATGGGCATATATTTTTCAAAAACAATAAAATTTCTCAGTTTAAACCTTTAATATATTGTTGTTGTACTATCTTCAAGTAAATATGGGGTTTAAATGATTTGCATTTCATTGCATTCTGTTTTTGTTTTTTATTTTGCTCAGTGTCCCAATGTTTTTGGAAACAGAGTTGTAGTTTCTGACCATTTGTCCAGTAGTATTTTAGTAGAAGGATGTATTTCACTAAAAAAGCAAAGAGTTTATCTGTGTAGTTCCTTTTTTTTTTTTAACAGCAATCATGTTTTTAGCAGTAGGTCACTATCATTACTACTACTGACTGCTAATTGGTTAGTGAACTGATCAGCTCATTGGCTGAGTGAAGTGGTTCATGCTCATTGAAAGTGCCATATCGGAGTTAAAAAGAGCTCAAAAATATGACAGTGTTGTTAAAATGTTTTGTGCTGTTCTGTGTTCAGGAAATGAATGGATTCTTCTATATAAAAATGTTTAAGCATTTTTGAACTATGAATTTGCCCAATGCTCCATAGTAATCCATTTATTTTGACCTCGGTCAGGAGCGCCCTCCTAGCGTTTAACAATCCCTGAAAACATTACTGATTGGCAATTCTCCTTTCTATAAATTCTTTATGCACAGAGTCCCTAAGCAATACCATTATATTCCCTACACACGAACATGGGATGTGGATTAAGGGAACTGCAGCTGATAAATGCCCTCATTTGGAATGTCAAGTAGTACCATTATCAAACAAAAACACAACACACATCTTCAAGAAACATGCAGTGATTAGCACTGCATGCCATATTGGTATTAGTTTTGCTGACCTGTTCCTTTAACCTTCTAAAGAGAGGCATTATTTTCATAGATTCCCCGCCTGTCATTCTTCTTGCTCTATTTTTATGATCATATTGGTCATGTGTTGTCAAGTTCTAACAGTCAGCCACAACATATGCTGATTCTAAATATTAACTAATTTTTTTCTAAACATTTTCTTGCCATATCACAGTCTTCATGAACACAGTGTGATTAGTTCACCCATCTTGCTTCACACAGAGCACTAACATCCTTCCTGTTCACCAGAAAGTGGAAGGGGCTTGCTGGGTAGCGAGTATAGCTCTAAAAGCTAACACACACACACACACCTGCTGTACGATGGGCATCTGGAGCCGAGCCGTTATCTGCCTGATCCTCCTGCTGACCACACCTGCTGTGATCAGACCAGTCATTACAGACCAGACGGTACCAGACATTACAAATCAGACGTTCATTAACGACTGCGTAAGAGAACACAACCAAAACAGATCCAGCGTTGACCCACCAGCCAGCAACATGCGCTACATGGTAAGACTCAGAGACGGGGTGTGTTCCTCTGAAAGCCTGACGATACACACTTCCAGTCTAAAGTTTGGACCTGGTTAAATCTGTTTTTTTATGATTTTACAAGCATTGACCTTATTATTAGCTTTATTTTGAAACGTGAATTTTGGAGGCCTTCCTTGGTATGAAGAGCAGCTTTTGCCTAAATAATGATTTGACCTTATAATTTTTTTTCAAACTACTGCTAAAAGCACATATTGAAACTTTTCTGACCCTAAGGTGTTTTAAACAACTGAAAGGTGCCAGTGAGTTCCGACATCACAGTAAGGGGATAAATGGGCAGCACTAAGGGAGTGGGACCAAGAGTTGATGCAGACCACCCCAAACTCTATTCCCAAACTGTATTTGTCCCGCTGCACATATTTTTCTTTCTGTACTTCACTGAGAGAACCAAAGTGGCCAGCTAGTGATAAAAAAATTAAATGTGACATAATCATGGCCGTTAATATACTACTAAGTTAAGGTTAGCATTTCTCACTGCCCACCTGCTCGGATATCTCCTCGTCTTCCTTAAGTAGATTTTTCTTGTCCTCTCAGTGACACCTTGTTTTTTTTGCAGTTCTTACCTCTGCTGTCCATTCTCACATGATTCATGCATGAAAATTGCTATATCGGTAATGCAACAAAAAAAGCAGAGCACTGCATGTTGTGTTAGCCAGTTTCAGGTTCACACCATTGTGCTGATTTTGATACTTTAATCTCTCAAGGCTAATGTTAATCTTAGTCAATCTAATGTCACTCTTAATCAAATTTCTGTTCCATCTTAAATAGTGTTGCAGTTGCACACTAGTGCCCGGGTGTCTGAATGTAACTGCTACATTATTTAAGGTGGAACGTAGAATAAAAAATAAGAAGCTAACTCCAGCTTCATTTAATCTCTGTTCTCTATACAAGACTCAGTTACAATCAGCAAATCAAGGATGTACCATTTGAGGCAGGGGCTGCTAATTTAACCTTTAATTTACTACAGAAATACAGTTAAATGTAACATTTATAGTTTATCTGTGCGTTCTTGTGCTTTATACATTAGCTCACAGTAACCGGCCCAAAATGCGCATTCAGCCTTCAGCCTCCTCAGAGTTTAGCCCTGGTGATTTATGTTAAAGTTATGTGATTAAAGTTATGTGAAGTCTTTTAGCCAGGGTTGTCAGATTACTTTTACAGTTTCAAGTGAAAAAATGCTCAAAGCTGTCCAAAAAATGCACAACAAAACAGTTTAAGGTTATTTTAATCATAATACAAAATAATTCATAATATAATATAATAATGCCAATTAATTTAACTAACATTACATATAGCTAGATGCACTGTTGGTCTTTTAAACAAATATAATGTAAAGCATATGTAATATTAAATAGGACCCATGAATAAATCAGAAAGGCATATGAATAACAATAATATTACAAGTGTAACTATTTATCACAGTTTTTAAATTTGCCTACATGTATCGGCTGTGTTGAACAGATCATTGGCCATTACTATTTCCTACGATTGCAGAACTCTGTACAGTCAGCAGTGCAGAGTGAAATGGATAATCTGTGCAGTGCTAGAACCGAAAGCACATTCATTACATCAGTTAACTGCTGCTTTCTATTACAGATGATACAGACACAGTTGGGGCAATGGTCTCCACTCAATAGGAATGAACATATGTCAGTCAGAGTTTTGATAATTTTTTGGATGTGGCTTAGTTAGGCCCATTCAAGTATCAGCTGCATTATGAAGTAATGCAGTTTATTAATAATATATGTTTTTTTAAAGCCTGCCAAAATAATGACAAATCATTCCAATTTTTTTCCCCACCAAATCCAACCAAAATGTACCCAATTTGGCAGGGACCTGCCCAATCTAGCAACAGTGGTTTCAGCCCAGACTGCCTTTTGAGTTAGGCACAATACAGGTCATTTAACTATATCTGTCTTAAAGGCACAGTAACAAATACAGCCTGTTTCATTTTAAGCAACAGAGACACAGGCATAAGAAGATAATTTGGATTTGTTTAACCTTTTGGCTAATGACACAATTTTATAGGTTTGTACAATTTTGTAGATTTTGTGTGATTGCATTTGTGATGTTTTTGGTGTGTGTATTTTTGCAGTCATGGGATGAAGGGCTGGCAGTCACTGCGAGAGCCTGGGCAAGAAAGTGTCTCTTTGTGCACAATATTTACCTGAGAGAGAGTAGCAAGGTCCACCCAGTCTTCAGCTCTGTCGGGGAGAATCTTTGGGTGGGGACGTGGTTTTCAGTGAAGGATGCAATCCAGTCTTGGGTTAACGAAGTTAAATATTACACCTATGAGACGATGAGCTGCGGCGGGGTCTGTGGACACTACACACAGGTAACTCCTCTGAAAACGGTAGTTTTGTCTTTATAATAGTATGCAGTCTGAATGGAGCTGTTTTATTGGCCAACATTTGCCTTCTCTAGGCTCCAGCCACACATGTCCTCTTTCACTGTTTACAGAACAGAAAGAGAAACAATATGTATTTTTTTGTGTACATCTTACATCAACATGTGTTTTTGGTGATTGGATCATCTCCTGATTTCACCTTACTGCATAAGTGAGGACCCTGAGGATGTACTGTGGTCAGATTATGATCAGAACACTCAACATGGTTTAACACAAGGGTAAATGGAAAGAGTTTTCACTATATGTATACAAATACATGAGTGGAAATGTGTCTGCCGAGCACTGACTAGCAGGTGAGAGGATGAACAGTGAAACGAAAGATAGAGGACACATGAGGCTAAATTATCCCGAAATAAAGAGTCTTCATGCACACATTAAAACATCCAAACCAAGTCTGTTGACTCATATCATAACAAGGTAAAAACTGAACAAAAGAAAACCGAAACATCATCTGCTTTTTACACAGGAAAGTAAAATTGGGTCTCCTCTGGCCAAATTGGGGACACGTTTCAGTGAAAAGTGTTAAAAAAATTTAGCCAAAGTTGATCCAGATATGATCTGACATGAAACACAGGTTAATGCAAGGTGTTAACAAGCCTATACAGGATTAGCCAACTAGCAATGCTAAACTAGCAATGCTTTCACGGCAGTGAAAAAGAACATCCCATGTAACCTAGATTTTCAATTGAGAATCTAGCTACTAGGAATATTTTGGCAAAAAGTAGTTTGACATAAATTCCTCCCAGTTTTCCTGGCTTACTTCAAAATCAGTCGATCAACTAAGATATGAGCCAAAAAGCTAAGGTAGCTAACAGGTAATGGAAGCTTATACTCCACCAATTAGCACTGTCCAAAAGTATGATGTCGTGTAGCTGAGCAGTAGGAGTAAAGGGTATATTTTTTCTGGACTGTTCCTTTAAGTCTAGGCTGTGCTTTTACCTGTGGACTGTGTTTGCAGGTTGTTTGGGCGAACTCATATAAAGTCGGCTGTGCTGTCCAGTTCTGTCCAAAGGGAATCAAAGAAACGACATTCTCTCACAGACCAGGATACGTGTTTGTGTGTAACTATTCTACAGCGTAAGTAAGCAGTGTATGTCTACAGACATGCATTGTCCTTTAACTCTTGTTGTTGAACTCATATGTTGTTGAACTCTTTAGTGACTATCACTACTGACTAGTGAATACAACTTTACTCTGTTCAGGTGCTAGTTGAAAGATATGCCCAAAACAAAGTCAGGACAATACATATCCAACTTTTTCTTAGCTATATTAAAAAACACACATAGATTGTTCAAGGGTGTTGCAGATTCATTGCTAAGTTTACTGTTTTTTTCACTGGCGAAAAACAAAGCACTTGTGCTAAAAAAGATGCAAGGTTTTTAGCACTGAAAAAACAATTGATAAAATGCTTCTAGAACCTTTTAATTTCTATGATGTGGAACAAATTATCATTTTAACTGTGAAAAACAGCATGTAGAAAGTCTGAAAGTTAAAGGAATAGTTCAGCAAAGAAATCAAATTGACATGATTTATCACTTAGCCCAGACGCAGTCAAAAGATGAGCCAAACATGGCCAAAACATGTTTGGCGTGTGCTTCTTTAATTTACTATGGGAGATGCTAGGCTAACCTTGCTAATAAACACTGGAGTTGGTTTGTCACCAAACTCTCTGTAAATACATGCCCAGAAACATCTCTCAACCCACTCAAAATGCATCCAGATCTTTATTTATTTTGCTCAGACAAATCTGTGGTTTAGAACACATTAAAACTTACTTCAGTGTATGAAAGCAAAACTAAACATCTGAATAGGTGAATGATGGGGAAGCCAATGTAAGTAACCTGGATCCACTTTTACCTCAGCACATAATATGGTATCATTCCACACAAGACTACGTGAACTCGCCACAGACACTCTGTAAGCTAACTTGGAAGAGAAGCTAAGCTAATGGACTTGGAAAATCAAAACAATGTCCGATTACAGTTTTACCATTATTTTTTAAAGTAATAAATCATTTTAATTTTATTTTTTTGCCAAACAGTTTCTTTAATGTTTTTTTCTTAAATGTAATTTTGTGAAACATACAGATAAATAATTTCCTCCACAATATTTCACATTTCAGCAGCATATATTGTTGTAGTCCTACACTGTAAAACCTGAAGAGTTCAGTAAACTTAAATGGTTTATGGAAACCGATTGCCTTAAACCATTTAAGTTTAGGTTACTCATATAATTTGACCATGAGTAATTCATGAACAACAAATTTGTTTATTGTTGTATACACTTAACTAAATTGAGTAAATCACTCCTTTGATCTTAAAATGATTGAGTATTTTGGACTATAATAATGGTACTAACTCAACACAATTAAGTAATTCTAACTTATATTTACTGCCTTTACACAACTCTAACCACTCAAGTTCAGCTTCTTCCATTAACAGCTAAACCAGGCTTTAGTTTTAACAAATTTATCCAGAATGTCAGATCATTTTTGACAAGAATATCTTAAACAGTTTAACTTACTACAGCTCTGGACCATCTCGCCCAATACTCACAGTTCAGCCCGGAATGCAGAAGTGGTCTGAAGTGTTCAGAACCACACTCAGCAGGTGGGGTCATGGCAGCTCAGCTTACTCAGCACTGATTTACAGTCGGCACTGACTGAGATTAGATGATCTCCCAAAATTTAGAAAATAAGTAAGTGCCCAAGGGAAGGCAGGCTGGGGAGAATGACTCACAGAGATGGTAGGTTAAACAAGGGGGAGAGACACGGCCAATATGCCACCAACAGCCAATAGGAATGATGCAAGTTTTACTCAAGGTTGCACTGACCAAGCTTTCATCAAGTAAAGCTGAGAAGTCTTAACAAACTAAACTAAACTGCAAGAGCTTGATTCAACTCAAAGATCCCATCGTTAACCGCTTAGTCCAGATAGGGTCACGGTTCATTTAATATGTAATTTTTAATTTAATCAGTTAATTCTTAAAAAAAAATATTTTGATTAGCAGTCTTTTTATTTACTGTGATTTTGTGCATTTGTATACATTGATTCACACTTTGACAAACTGATAAGCAGATAAACTACATTGGGGGTAAGAAGTTAAACTTGGGGAATTCAACATTTTTGCTAAACTATTGCTTTAAATACAGTCATTTAGAATGTAAAAAGCTTATAGACTACTGTGAAACATTTGATTCAGTTAGCAGATTAGCCTAACAGTTCTCTGTTCTGCAGAGGAAACTACAGAGGTCAGAAGCCTTACATCACAGGAAGCCCTTGCAGCGGTTGTAAAGGAGAGAAGTGTGAAAATAACCTCTGCCGTAAGTGTGAAAGAAATATAAAAGAAATATAAACCCAAAGCAGCACAGAATCAGGCTGTCTGAAACCTGTGTAATATGTTTCTGCAGGTAACTCCACTCGAGACGCACTGAGACGTGAGTGTTACTGTTCATAAATCATTTCCTATAATAATCTTGCGAGATGAAAGTCACTTTTCAGTACATTTTTTGATGTATAGACAGTACTATGCAAAAGGTTTAAGCATCTGAGAATGATTATATTTAAAAAAGCTTTTTTCTGGGCAGTGAGCATTTATTTGCTCAGAAAAATACACCAATATTGGAATCAATACAAATGATTAATATAATAGTAGTGATTTTTTTGTATGTCAGTATGTTCGTTTAATCATTTTCAAACCTATCTTTGTGGCATGTAGGATTACCAATCCATCCAGGAATTGGTGACATATTCAAGCACTAGGCAGCTCTTCCACACGATAATTAAGAAGATTAGGGCCTGTATCAGAACTGACATCTATCTAACTTTATTTACTAAGTTCAGGTTTATTTCTAAATCAGGACAAATTGCACCACACAAACTAGTTTTAAAGTTGAGCTTAGTAGTTACTAAATAGTTACATCCCCCAAGCAGGTGTGAAACCACAAAAAAGGCACAAAAAAGACCAAAACATGACATTTCCATTGGTTAACTAAATTTTACTTACAGTTCTCATCACTGCCCTGGTTTTAACTCCGAGCATGAAGCTAAACACCCACAGCTCCAGCTCACTGAGACTCAGCAGCTGCCCAAACAGCTAAACTAAGACTGCTGCTGTGTCAGTTAGCCAGAAACCATTGTTTAAAAAGCTGCATATTTGGTTTTCTCAGGGAAATATTAAAGAATATTAAAGAGTAAACAGATAATGGCTATGGATAATTAGAGTAGGTAATTCAGTGAAATTTATACACGTTTCTCGTTTTTATGCTGGACATTTTTTCCATTGAAAAAGTCAGAGCAAGCTGCTGTCACATTAGAACAGTTCAAAGACACAACTTATGTATTTAATAAAAGAATAGTTTGAGACTATTTTGAGACTATGCAATGTTTAAAGTCACTGAGCTCATCAGTATGACCCATTCTACTGCCAGTGTTTCTCTTTCGAGACTGCAAGGCCATGTGCTTAATTTTATCCACCTGTTAACAAAGAGTGTGACTAAAACACCTAAACACAATAATTAGGATATACTTTTGTCCAAATAGTGTATGTGGACAGAGTGTGGATACAAGAAGGTGTACTCAGTAAAGTAATGTGTGTGTGTATGTGTGTGTGTAGGTTATAACTGGACTCCAAGCTGGGATCCGGCGTCTCCAAGCTCGACTCAGAGTGTGTCAGAGTGTGGATCTTTCTGTAAGGCTGTTCTGATCACCCGGCCTGTTTCTCTGCTCATCATCTTTAGCTCTGTTTACTGTATTCAGCTCTACTACCCAAACCTCTTTGCCTACACTTCCTGATAAAGAGACAACATGACAGCTTGGTAAATTTGGGACATGTGCCTGGAATAGCATTCATTTTAACCAACTGCTGCCATTTGATGTCCTCACTGTGTTTCTTCTACTTGTCCTTCTCCTGAGAAGCTTGAAAATTCCCTCCAGAATTAATTTCAGTTCACAAAATTATGCAAAATTATTTATTTGTTAAAAATATTTAAATGCTGACCACATTTTAGCTGCATTCCAGCCAACTGCCTAAAGGCATCCCTTTAATCTGAGACAGATAATCTCATGGAAAGCCCCACAAGACCTGATGTAATATATAAAAAGAGCATCGCAGAGAGGCTAAATATTTCAGAAGTGAAGATGGAGAGGGGACCACTCTGTATAAGACCGCGCAGACAAATAGTGCAACAATTCAGAGAAATCTCTGTATGCAAGGGACAAGACTGAAAACCAATATTGACTGGCCATGAACTTCGGGCCCTCAGGCACCACTGCATTAAGACAGACATGATTCTCTAGTGGAAATCACTGCATGGTCTCAGGAACACTTCTAAAACCAGTGTCTGTGAATACAGTTCATTAAAGCTCTACCATGTAAAGAAGAAACCATATATAAACAGGATCCAGAAACGCCACCGGCTTCTCTGGGGCCGAGCTTATTTTTGTTTGCACAGTTTTTCTTTTGTATGTCTTCACGCTTGTAAATAAATCTCTCATTGTCTGCAAAGAACCACTCAGAGTCGTCGTATCTTCAACCTGCAACTGCATCCCACATACCATTCTGTCACAACCTACCCTGACTTTGTGTCTCCTCACGGGGTTCGGCGAAGCATCGTCACAAAGCCTCATTGCTCAAATCCGATTTTTTCAAATATGTCATTAATGTGAACAGAACAGTGTCCTGAAATGACCTGCATGTGCACATCCTACTCAGTAATGTGCATCATCAGCAAACAATCGAACGAGCAGAAGGAGCCTTCACTGTGAAGATAATTAACTCTGATCAGCTCTCAGCTGTTTATTATTAGAGCAAGACAAAGACGGGAAAGGTGAGATGTGTTGCTTTTCCACCATTTACAGGCTTTAACTTCTGTTCGGCGCTGCTGCCATGGTAACGCTGAATGATGGCAAAGGCACAGCGGAACAAAAGCACATGAATTCCGATCTGAGGGTCACATTAAGGTCACATGGCCACGAATTTGATACATATCCGATATAGGACCACATATGAAAGTGGCTCAGGTTGGACTTGAAAAGATCAGATTTGCGTATCCACACAGCCCTGAAAACATCAGATCTGAGTCACATTAGAGCAAAAAATTGGATTTGTGCCGCTTCAGCCTAGTAATGTGAACATAGCCTAAGATGGACTGAGGCGAAGTGGAAAAGTGTCCTGAGGTCTGACGAATCAAAATTTGAAATTCTTTTAGGAAACAATGAACACTGCATCCTTCGGGCTAAAGACCATCTGGCTTGTGCACTGTTTAAAAGCCAGCATCCATGATGATATAGGGGTGCATTAGCGCACATGGTATGGGTGACTTGCACATCTGTGAAGGCACCATTAATGCTGAACAATATATACAGTTTTTGAGCAGCATATACTGCCGTGACGTCTTTTTTAAGGGAACATGATTTAAAGGGAACACGATTTATAGTTTTACATTTTTATACACAATTAAAATATAATTGACATCCCGGAATTCTAATTAATTACTGTTTTAGTTTTTTTTTCCACTTTCTGCTATCTCACCAATTCAATTTCCACATGTGAAAATCAACTTTAGTAGTACAGTTAATAAGAATTATTAATTTTCAACTAGTAAAAATTCAGTTTTGGATAAAGAAATGAATTTTCAAATATGTAAATAGACTTTTTTATAAATTGTAAATTGAAAAATAGGATTGAAAGTTAAAACTGCTTACAATAAAATCAATGAACATATAAGTAGAATCTCAACTTATACAAATTATTCTTCACTTATTTGGGTTACAAGCTAAACCTGCTTTCCACAGAGAGGAGGGTGATTCGCCAAATATCAAATTTGACGTAGAAAGAAGAGGCTGTTAAAATACAGTTCCAGTTTTAAGTGTGAGAAAGAGTTTGTTCATAATGTCTTCTCCTGAATTTACATTTTTTACAGAAAAATGTTGTTGTAATCTGAAATTATCTTCAGTCCTAACAGATCAAAATATGTCTTTTAAATATACTGGTTAATCAGCTGAGTGAGTGAACGTGTATGATTTCATTTTCATGTGGGACCAAACATGTCTGGAAACAGTGTAGAAAATGCCATTTAATACACATCGGCTTCTTGCTGGGAAAAATTACTGTCAGAGTGGTTTAGGCGTTATTTTTTGTGGCACTGTGTCATGTTATGAATTGATGGGGCCATATTTTTAAATGAGATGCAAGCGCAGACAGGCCTCACGATGCAGACGTTACTGCCTCACTGTTTGTCACTGTAAATCTGGTGCTGCAGTTTATGAATCTAGCCCAGTGTGTTTTGGGGGGAATTTCTAAAGGACTCAGCTTATGGTACCTAGCTACACATATAAACTATCAAGAGTGCTCATGTGAAGGAAAGGTGCAGAAGGATGCCATCTTCTGGTTGCTTTCAAAACATTTTGACTTTCCATTCATTTCCCATTAGGACCTTAAGATTAAACAGATTACAAAATTGCCTAATGCTGTAACATTTGCGAAGCAGTCATTCTGCAAGCAAAACACCACAACAGCTACAATTATAATAGCAAGCCCTGGCGTGATTTTCCTCAAAATTGTTCTAATGGAGGGGTCTGTAACCTGTATGCATGCAGCCGGCCTTGAGACTGTTTGGGCATGGGATGTGGTGTATAATGGAGTTAAACAGATTAAGTTTTTTTTGTTTGTTTGTTTTGCTTTGAGAGAGTGAGGTCCAGGGTGGGGGTGTGTATAGGTCGCCATGGAAAGGATAAGGAGGGGGATAGAGGGGTTTGATGACTGTTAATTCCTTAGGATCACACAAGCCTGTTTTATATATGCTTGGTTTGTATATATATATATATATATATATATATATATATATTATATATATATATATATATATATATATATATATATATATGAGTGGTGGGGGTTAAAAAAGAAAGAAAATATATGGTGTATGATGTTTCCTCCCTACACTTTTCTCAATAAAACTGGTCACAAAAAAGCCCTGGTTTGATGGTGACATCATCAGCACGACAGTCTTTGAAGTTTTAGGGAAAAACTATTTCTGTCTTTTACTGTCAATTACTCATTTGTAATACTGATGTAGTGTTAAATATACATAAATATGGGAGTTTTCATGTTTCAGCATGTGTTATGCAACTTGTAATGTCCATTACCTCCAATTCACTGGCGTCTGACACTTTCCCTACTTGTTAGGTCTTAAATGGTCAAGTATGATGATAAATACGGACAATATTTCCATACTTCTAATAAATAAACAATCCTGATGAACTTGAGTAGAAAGAGTAGACACTGATAGTGTTCTTTATTAAACAGAATCACTGACTTGTGAACAGTGTGAATGCACATTTTGTTCTGTGTTATGAACACAAGAGTTCGGAAAAATGAGTTTACTTTCAGCAGATGTGTTGACATTACAAAACATTTGCAGACAATAGCATATTTAGGTATGTTTATTGTAGAACATATGTTTACTTACTTTCATTTAGAAAATAAACAAAATTTGACCAAGGGTGTTCAAACATTTGCATATGACTATACATGTTTAGTTGTCCCCAAGTATTCAAGATAGCATGGCACAAAAAATGTTATTATTGATATTTATTATAAGTACTGTCTCTTCAGCTCAACGAACTGGGAGGTACAGAATTACTGATAGGATGATGCCTGTGTGTCTCCTGCATGAAGGTGTTGCACCACATTTCTTTTCTCAAAGAACATAGAACATGTTGGCTGGAAGACCTAATCATTCTGTAACATTAAAGGAAATTCACAATACTGAACTCTGTGACAGGCTGGAAAAGGTAAAATGTTGTTTTATAAACAAAATTTTTAAAATATGATTAAAATAGCACCCAAAGAAACTTGCATTTATAGAAATGCGTAATTCTAATCATTTTTTCTTTAATAATGCAGATACAGAATGCTGCCACTATTAAAGAGGCAAGAATGGCCATTTTTGAGGCCTCAGAAAGCTTGTCAATCTTTGGAGCTTTACAGTAAATTAAAGACCTTGATGAACGAGATGGTCTGGTCCTCGAAGCTGCCCAAGATTACTTTGAGGGCAGGGTAAAAGCCAGACTGGAACAGTAAGCACCAGTAATATAAACTAAGGATGAGCATACAGACACATGACAACAAAAAGAAAACTTTTTTCTTATTATTTTACAGGTTAGTTGAAGGTTTGCAGGCATTTGGCTTAGCAGACTCTTGAAGTCTTCCAAATCCTTAAGGGCCAAGGATCTGATAAGCCTGTTTCAGCCAAGCTTATCACCTCATGGAAGTAACTGACGGCAAGAAGAGAACAGAGTGCTTTGCTTTGGAGGGACTGGCTGATTAACGTGGAAGGTAAGTAGTAGGGGTGTGCAATATTGCAAAAAAATATCGTCCTATCATAAGTCCTCATAGTAGATAAAGAGAACTTCATTAAACAAATGAGACAAAAACATTAGACTTGGTATATGTAACAATGTAATATTTTCTTAATAAATAAATGATCAACTCTAATATTTATGACTCATTTGTTTAATTTGGTTCTCTTACCTCCTGTTTGGACTTGTGTAAAAATCTGATGAAGTTTTAGGTCAAATTTATGCAGAAATGTAGAAAATTCTAAAGGGTTCACAAACTTTCAAGCACCACTGTACAAAGGATCATAGATATTCATTTATTAATCATAACTTAATTCCTGCTGTTTTACAGCCAACCCAGTAATTATAGAATCATAACTGTTTATTCACACTTAAAATGATGGCTATTCAAGGGTTCTTTAGTACAGAAAATGGTTCTATATAAAACCATGAGCACTCAAAGAACCCTTTGCATAAATAAAGGGCTTTTTGCATCTTGAAAGCGTTCTTCAGATTGATGGAGAATGTGTTGAATACAGTTCTATGTAGAACCTTTTTTGAAAAGGGTTCTTCTATTGTTACAATGTGAAGCTTGTAATAATATAAGAACCCTTTTTGGTGCTATGTAGAACCATATTAAACATATTCTACATTAATCTGAAGAACGTTTCATGATGCAAAAAACCCTTTAATCATGCAATGGGTTCTTTGAGTGCTCATGGTTTTATATAGAACCATTTTCTATACTAAAGAACCCTTGAATAGCCATCATTTTTAAGTGTGTAGCGTATAGCAGGGATGCACAGCTCTGGTCCTGTAGGATCGGTATCCAGCACAGTTTGGTGTTTCCCCTGCTCATACACACCCACTAAACCTGGCAATTAACAGATGAGGGTAATCAGGTGTGTTTTAGAAGATAGATCTCCAAAATGTGCTGGACACCGGCCCTCCGGGACTGGAATTGTGCACTCCTGCCTTATAGCTTTCTTCATCATTCTGGACACATCTAAAATGTCCTTGTTTTCCCTAGCTTCCAACTAATTATGTACTGTAAAGTTGAACATGAATATGATACTAGATCCACTTAATACACTTATCTTCATTCACACTGATTTTATATTTTTAAAAACATTCATTCCAAACCTTTGGGTGGTGAAGCAGAAGTTG